AGCGTTTATATCATAATTTGAAACATGTAACATGTACACCATTGATAGGCATCAGGTAGCCAGTCCAAGAGCTGAGGTCTGTTCGGATTCGGTTCTGTCAGCTGCTGCGATTGACCCGTTTTCGGTTCTGAGTTTGGCGCCTCTTGTTGACACATTCTGAACCTTAGAGCTGGACAAGCCCGGCATGGCGGCTTGTTGTTTCGGGTGACCTTTTGACCGAAGCGTCACGCGCATGTTGCTGCCGAGGTACATGAAGGAGGAGGAGTGTTCCATCCGCAGGGCCAAGCCGAAGTCGATGAGCTGAAGACAGGTGGGACGTAGTGCGAAAAGCACCGGTGATGCGGCTCAGCCGTGACTGCGAAAAGGGGTGACCCCTCAAATAAAAACACACTTCCTGAACCGCTCTACCACTTGTGCCTACACACCCTGAGGTGCTGTCTTTCAGAGTCCAATTGTTTTTGGCACCTCACATCACGTTTGGCACCTTCCCAGCCTCACATCTTCCAACACGTTCCGATTAGTCTTCCTGGATTGGCACTCCTTTTTAGGGCTTTCCTTTCTCAGCCTTGCAGTCGTTGGAGCCCCTAGTAGCTTCTTGTTACTATAGTAGCAAGAATGCTCCTCTTTGCTCTCAGTAGCGTCCTTGTTCCTAGTAGCGATGCCAGGAGCCCCTAGTAGCGTCCTTTGCTCCTAGTTTCCAAGGTGCAAGATCGGTCCCTTTGACAAATGTGGCGATCGCCCCAGGCAGGCCTTGATATGCCATCGTCTTGTCTTGCCAGGATCGTCCAGCAGCATGATGTTCTCTGCCTCCATGTGGACACACCACGGAACATGGCAGTCAGGACACCAAACGCATATCCCATCATATCCACACAGGAATTCCATACCTTGGCGGATTCATGTTCCACCCCATACCACCCCTCATTTTGTCCGACCAGCTCCATTGGCCACGCTTTTCGGGTGCGCCGTAGGTCGCAGTGCAGCGATTTCCCTTCTCCGGTACCTCAAGCAAATCACGATCTTCCTCGTCCTCGTCCTCAACGCTTTTGGTCTCGTGGAATCGTCCCACCATTTCCCACCTTAACGTCTCGATGAACAATACGATGCAAATGGAGATGCTCCAAGGCCTGCTGTCATCGATCGGGTGGGCTGAAGGGCTTATGACAATTCGACCAGCGGCATAGAGTCAGGTGGTGTGTGGAGAAGATCCTGAATGCCGTTTGCAATACACAAGCTATGATAAGGCCACAAAAAAAAGCACAAACACACGGAAGAATCAGCGTTGATCTTGAAGGACTGTGACTTTTTGAACTGAGGGATGACTGGTTGAGAAGCACTCATGAACCAATCCAAATGCTCTCAGATTGCCTGCAGTAGCTGGCTGCCAATCAGTGCACAGCAGCCTTCAGTCACCGCCTCAGTGGTTCCAAGCAAAGCTGAGACAAAATGACTTTAGAGATAAGGTTGGTCCTTAGCTAGTAATTGGACATCAACGCTGCCGGGGGGAGCCAACATAGATTCCATTTATATAATTTGATTCATCTATCGCCTTGGGAGCTTGCGCGTCCCTGAATTGTACTTAGAAGAAAACATATGCCAAGAATGACCGCTACTGTACTTGATAAGGACTGAGTACAAACCGCATGTCAATGTGACCTTCCAAACGGTCACCCCGTATGGCAGGGTTTGGGAGCTCATGTCCTGGGCAACGGACAATGCGCGGATTGGCAAGGGCCTGAAAATAGCCACGCGGTGGATTTGGACTGGCTGGCAGATCACAAAGAGATGGCTCCCCAAGAAAAGTCAAAACGCTCATCCCAGAAATCACGCAGTTTAGAAGAATTCATCTTGAAATCTTCCTGGTGCTTCGGGGCTAGCGGCCGGCTTTGGGGGGCTGGCATCTGGATTTTGTCAACACATTGCCGTGAGTCTGTTGAAGCGGCAGAACTGTTCACTGTTCACCAAACCGGCACGTGCACGTGCAGTTCACAGTTGCGCCTTGCCTGGAACAGCTGTCCTCCAACAATCAAATCCATCACAAGGAAAAGCCACCTCTCCTGCAAAATCGATAGTGACTCAACAGATGCGGGCAATTTTTGGGCTTTGTCTCTGGCTTTGCCACCTTCTTTTGATGTGATCATTCTGTGATCCTCCTGTGATCCTCTTCAGAATCATCACATTTTGGACCGTCTTTTGATGTCTTTGGCTTTCCTCTCTGTGATCATTCTCGACAGTCGCTCTGCATCTGCGTGCATTGAAACTTAGCTTGTGCAAAACCCTCACAGGACATACTACAGGACAAATCAGGATAAGAACAAGGCTCCCCCACACATCATTGGGTGAGCTCCTTTGCCCCATCATATGGATATCTTTTGCTTCAGACTTGACATGAACAACCAATGCTGGTGCCACATCAGTATCATTTCCCACGCCATTCTTGCCCAATTCATTGAAAGTCCTTCTCGAAGACTTCAATCAGCTTGACGATGTACGGGTGGGAGATGGACTGCCATTCAAAACAGATTGCTCTCTCTCTCTCTCTATAGGACATAGACATATTTGGATGCAAAGGGCATCGCTACTAGGAGCAAGGACGCTACTAGTAGCTCCTGGCATTACTACTAGGAGCAAGATGCTGCTAGGAGCAAGGGCATCGCTCCTAGTAACAAAGGGCATTGATTCCAACTCCAAACTAAGCCTTTCAGCCACCCAAGGTGCCATTGCTGGTCCTGCCTGGAGAATGCTCGCCTCGGAAGGAGTCTGTGGTCAAAAGCATGGGATAAGGAGGTCTTAGAAAAGAGAAGGACCAGCAGACTTAAGGGATCCTGCTTTGAGACATGGGATGGGTTTCAAGAAGCTTGGTTTTGTTGGAAAGCAAACACTTTAGAGCATACGAGCATATGAAAGCACTCCAGGAGTCACTTCCGCTTTGTAACCAACTTCCTGAGGCACCAACTTCCTTTCGCGCCGAAAGCCAAGCTCCTGCCACCTCAAAGACCTGCCCCAGGTGCGGTCCAAAGAGAAGACAGAACTAAACCACTGGGTTGGCTTTGTCCAAGTATTTAGTATATAATGGGAAGAAGGTAGTTTACGGATCAGGGTTCCAACACTAAGGATTTTATATAATGGTGTTGGTGTACTCTTATATGTATATATATGTTTAAGCATCAATCAATCGTAATCTAGATCTTTGTAAAAACTATTCTCAACAAAGCATTTCGCTTCAACCCCAGCCCGGGAAGGTACCGGAGCTCCTCAAGGCTCAGTGAGGCACCACCAAATCCTGGCCAATCCCCATCCGACCCAACGAACTCGGCCTCACTCTTGGTGTCAATGGCCTAGAGAGGCGAAGGTGAGACACGAAGGCGAAGGATCGAGACGAAGGACTTCCTTAAGGACACTTGTAGCGTCCGACCGCTCCGTTCGTAGCGATGCCCGAAATGCTCCGAACGTAGCTTCAAGACGAAGGACTTTTCTGCCCCCCCAAAACAATTGGAGGCCATCGCCAGTAAGTAGCCATTGCTAATAGGTTGGGGGCCATCGCTACTTCCATACTCTTCCATCTACATTCCCCTAGAACATCTGTGCCGCGCAGTAACTCGCCGGCATGCTGATTCTGCTGCTCATTTCAAGACATGGTAAGACCGACACCAAATTTGCACAGAAATGCACAGAATCTACTTTCCCAAATGTCTTCCAAAGAACATAGAGTGTAACTGTAACTCTATAAACATGTATAAACCAAAGCTGTTCCAAAAAACACCTGCTCCCTCAACTGCCTGCTGTCCCCGAAGATTCCTGGAAGTTGGCAACCCACATTCTACTATCCACATCTCCTCCTCCAGCCTTCACAGCGTACTTGGTGTCAGGATCATGAAGAGGCCAACACTTCCGAACCTGCGAAAGCAGCAAAGGCACGGACACACACACACAAAAGCAGTAAAGGGCTCTGGAGTCATCGTGCGAGCTGTTTAAGCATGGAGGCTGACCTAGGCTGACCTAGCCAACGTAGACCAGCAGCCTGGAGCCAAACAACCACTGAAGACCTCCGATCCCCAACCTGTCCAAAGGAGCCGCTGCCCAGCAGGCTTCCAATCTCATAGACCTGCGACCAGGCGACCCTTGTGAAGCCCTTGTTTTGGCTTGCCGAGTGCCAACCCAAGAGATATAGATCTTAAAGTCTTAGACCTCAAATTGAGTCTACTACACCTGTGACAAGGATCGACACAACCGATTCTACGGATTCAGGCTGCGAGGGGCTGAACCAAGACTTGGGCCTGGGGAGGCATCAAGTTACATCGAGTCAAACCCTGGTGATCGAGTTTCTCTCTGAAAGCTGAAAGCGCTCCTCAACCAGCAAGGTCGCCATCCCCAAAAACAATCAGCTTTGTGTTCCATGCCAGGAAGATGTCAGATGTCATCCTTTCTTTTGATCTGACTACCATCTTCCCTCTCTTCAGAACTCCCTCAAAAAGGCCCGGAAAAGCTTCATCTCCCACGGACTTTTTACGAGTCGCGCCCTACGTCTGTCGACGCGCGCCCGGTTGCCCGGTCGGATTCCACTGTCGAAGGCCTCAAAGAAGTTCACCTCGTGAGGCCAAGGCCGTAGAAGTCGTTCTTCCGAGAAGTCCCTGAGGCACGACCGGTTGACCCAAAAGGCAGACCGGTCTGACAGAGCTGATGGATGAACACTCTTGACCGCTCTTTTTTTTCTGGCGAACTTCCACACATCAAACATCCCCCAAATTTGTTGGCGCTTTTTTCTTTGTTTTGAGGTTTGTGAGCCTGTGTGAGCAAACATAATATAGATATAGTAGGGAATAGCAGGAGCACCATCACGAGTTTCCAAAAAGGATACAAGGCCTTCTTGAGCAATGACAGTAATCTCCTTGCTTGAGACACTCTAAACTCTAACAAAATGACCTCTTGGAATTCAACCGGTCTACAAAGTGCCAAGCTCCACCCGAAAGCTCTTTTTCTCACGGTTGACGAGTCTAACTTCAGATGCTGATGAGCACACCAGGATCCTTCTTCAAGCAGTACCGCCTGGCCGGGTGGGCCAACACAACAGAGGCTTGTGAACCAATTTGGAGTTACAAACACCTGGGCTTAATCGCGTGGTTGGGAGAAATGAAAGTAGCTGCTACCTAACATCAAGGAATCACAGCGTCATGATAGCTGTTCTAGCTTTCACGATGCAGTATTCTTCAGTGGAGGATTCTTCTCAAGCAGCAAAGCTGAGGAGACCCACAAAGATTGCCTGTCGGTTCTTGACCCGTGGAACTGGCCGAAGCTGTGCGAGATTGTGGAAGGACAGGTTTTTTTCATTACCTCAAGACCACAGACTCCCGTCCCTTCCCTCCCTCGTCCAAAGATTTAGTGAAGCTGAAACCTCAGCACCAATGAAAAAGGAACAGCAACTCACCCTAAATGCCCCACGAACGGCGCTCCTGGCCTGTCTAGAACGACACTGGCATAGGGGTCCACAGGGCAGCTTGCTTCGCGCACATATGCATGAAGCTCACCTCCAATTGCAGAATGGTTCTCTTGATGTCGCTTGCCTTTTCTGGGTGGAAGGTCAAGTCAACTGCCCGGGTCAAAGTGGACCTAGAATCGCACGTCTCATGCGGTTTCGAACTCCCCGAAAAGTCGACATGTCCAATGACCCACAGACCGAAGGTTTGGCCAAGCGAGCAACCTCTCGGAACGTGCATCTGTTTGTGCACTCAGCGCTTTCGGCTTGTTTGCTCTTGGAACTGAGTCTGTAAGAAACAAACAAATCCCCACATATTTGGGTTTTTCAACCCCCTTCTCCTTTGGGATTTGCTCATGTTTGAAATTTGAAAGCTGCACTTAACCAGGATCCCGTTGCATGCATGGCCATCCCCCAGCCATTACATGATCTGTAAAGGTATGGCTCCAACGAAGGCAGCACCCCAAAGCCCCATGACCGCTGCACCAGGCACCTGTTGCTGCTGACATCACCGCGGTATAGGCCGTGTGTGGATTGTGCACAGGATAGGCTGAAACTACCGCGAACAGACCTGAGACACGTGGAGAGGCTGGCAAAAACTTTTCCACCTACTGTACTTCAGGTTACTTCAGGAGGATTGTACATCTCTACACCTGCACATAACTGGCCTCTGAGCCCCGGACATGTTGACAACTCGAAGATACGGCAACGCAAGAGGACATGATCGAAATGGCAACGCAAGAGGAATCCTGAACAATTAGTTCTTGTAATCAACTTCCCAAATTAGTGAGATTTGGCGACACATTTGCCGTTTTCCGGGCGCCTTCCTTCAACAGTACCACCCGAAACAAACAGCTCTCTCCAAAAGAATCAAACATTTCAGGGGGTAAGAAATTGACATCAACTCCATGATCATCCATGAGGATGTCAGACGGCTTTCCCATGCTTTCCCCGTGCTTCTCCTGCCCTTTTCTGGCCGCAACCGTTTTGGCCAAGGAGCCCATGGCCGTGGCTTCCTCCCTCCCCAAACGCCCCAGCAAGGCTTCCGCCGCCGTGCGCCGGGGGTCCTCTGGGTCGTCGGGGCGCCACCTACAGCGAAGTGCCGCTCCGTTCGTAGCGTCCGACCGCTCCGTTCGTAGCGATGCTCTTTGTTCCTGGTAGAGTCCGATCACTCCTAGTAGTAAGGCCAGGAGCCCCGTTCGTAGCATCCTTGCTGTGAGGATTCGGATGTGCATCTTATCGCAGTGACGATGAAGTAGATGAGTTAAAGGAACCAAAAACATCTCACCAACATTTTTTTTTGAAGTCTAACATGTATAATTCATATTGTATAAGAACTATATAATTATATATATGTATATATATATATGTATGAAACTTATTATATCTCGGAATCGCCTTTTTCATTCTTTTTCAATATTTTTTCTTCATCTTTCTTCTAAAGATGAGTTCGATAATTTGGATCGATGTTGGGGGGACCGTAGATCAGTGCGTCCAAAAAGGAACAAACTAGGCAAATGGGTTTGTAGAAGACATCATTCACAGTCGATTTCCTAGGATTTTTTTCTCAGAAAGCACTAAGAAGACTAGATTGATTAGATGTCAGATCTTTGAATCCGCCGCCCCCAGCCGCGGCTTAGGGTTCCTCCTGCACTCCTTTGGTGGACCAGCGAGACTCTGAGGCAGGGTGGTTGCAAGTCTGGACTGGACCATCTGCACAGGAATTCGTTAGCGATGGCCTCCAGCCCAATAGCGATGGCCTCCAACCCAGGTGGACTTGAAAAATAACATCTCCAGACTGGACGTCTCAACAGAATGAGTTTACATATTTGGACATGCTCTTTTCTTGTTCTCTTTTTCTAGCCAGGACCTGAAGCCAACTTTGTCATCAGTAATTTGGCCCCAAAGCACATTCCACAACATACACTGCAGCACACTCCCACACGTATTTGGGACAAGATACCTGTCTGTGTTGCATTGGCAAAGGTAGAAGTCCTCAGCTTGCTTGAATTTCAAGCCCTATATCTTCGCCACTGAACCCTACATTGCCGGTTCAACCGCTGGAATTCTTTGACCGACATCAAACAAGTTGTGCAGTCGAAGCCTCTACTTCTTCCCCGCTTGCAACAGCTGTGGATCGAAGCAATGGAATAAACGAGTTCACCACCAAACACACATGATCATGCAAAAGAACATCAAAAGAACTAAGCTGTCTACTGACCGTGGAGTGGCCCACACGGAGCTCCAGATTGCACAGTCTCAGGCTTCGAACGCAAATCCCGTGGCACTCTCAGCGGACGCTCATTCAAGAACGCTACGAACGGGGCTCCTGGCATCGCTACTAGGAACAAGGACGCTACTAGTAACACTGCAATGGGCCTCGCTCGAGGCCTCGCTGGGCTCTGGTTGAGTCAAGTGTCATCCGAAGGGAACCAATCAGTCTTCTCCGAAGTGGTGAGGTTTCGGGCGATGGCCACGCCCTGCTTGGGCTTCGATCCAGCAGCCACAATGTAAAACCTGAGCATGGCGATGCTAGCGGCGATCATGCCGCTTTCGATATATTCCAACATGAAGAGACCTGGGAGAGACCTGGGAGCTGATGATCCTACGAGAGAATATACATGACCATCCTGACCATCCTGGGAGAAGCTTTATGTTTGCTCTTGATGCAGCTTCACCATCCTGGGAGAGCCCTGGGAGCTTGGACGTGGCCCAAACCAGGCTGGTCTGGGCCATTCACACCCCACAAGTTAAATATATTTAAATATCAACCCTCCAGTGGTTTGACTAGTATGGGACCTCCCCAAACAAATTGGTTGCTTCGCCGGAGTTTCCTTGGATCAAAACCTCCGTCCACTCCTGTGGGCGAGGCACGGCGCCGCCAGGCGTGTGTGGGTGACGTTGTCCACGAAGTCCTCGAAGGAGGAGATGCTGGGCGTCTCAAAGGCACGACGGAAGACCAACATCTGAGAAATCACACCACTCCTCGGTCTTCAGACATTGCACGCGAGATGGTCCACACAGATCGAGATGTGAAGATGTGGAGAGTGCCAATTTGGTTCCTCTATGTTCCTATTGAGCTTTTCTTGGGGGAAATTGTGACTGGAGAGTCAAACAGCCTGACGCCCGGTTCAGCATGGAATCAGGGAGCACCCGTCACGTGGGAGACGTGAACCCAAAATCCAGCAAGTTCCCTGTAGGGAGAGAGCGACATGACCTCAGAGATGGGCCTTTGGCCCTGGTGGGCTGTTTTTCGAGCACTTGATGGGCTGGGCCATGGACTTCCATCATCCTTTTGGGTCATAGCCATTGGTGAGAAGCCTAATCCTGCCCAGAATTGTAGCAAAGTCCTGCAGGAAATGGGGAACAGCTGAACCATTGGAAATCTTGTGGAACACTGAGAGACAGCTCAGCACAGCAATGCTCTATGCCATTTTGTGCTTTAATCCATCACAATACTGTACAAAGGCGGGAAATACGGTGGTTAAATGTTATATACATCCCGCCAATTCGAATGGGTCCCTGGGTGCGGGTCAAATTCCCAATGGAAGCAGAATGACTGACAAACTATTTCGGCGAATGAGCTGTGGGGTTAGAATCCAGCGAGAGCTTTGGCCGGGCTGCGTCATCATCCCTCTGCTTAAAGACAACAAACATATGTACAGCCACTTGAATAGCAACAAATCTGCTTGACTACTGTATATACAAGACATCAAGACCTCTTCATGCCCTTCTGTTCCACTCCGAAGGTAACGCGAATACCGCGCGAAGAGATTTACGCTCACTTTGAGGCCACCAGGCTTTGAACTTCCTTCTGGATCTTCTCCATGGGATGCTTCATCAACTCGCTCAGCTTCCCCGCCACCAGCGGCACATGATCTCCGAAGGCCTCGCTGAAGCGATCGGTCACTGTGTCTTCGTCCAAGGCCAGCAGGGACATGCCGTTGATCCACAGAATGACGTCCCCGGGATGGAGATCTCGTTGTCCCGGTTTGGGCAAAACCTGTGGCAGGCGTGTGCACTTCGCCGACTCAAGAAGGTGGTATCTCTAGTGGCTACTAGTTAGTTGGTTGGTGGGAGGGCAAAAGATTGGACCCAGCCAGGGATATTCGATATTTCTGTATAAATCTGCGATAGTGTAAGACTTGGATAATCTGACACGCGAAGGCTACCTCGCATTGAAGTCTGTTGAATTCGCTCGGCGGGTCTTCTTATTATGCGAGGGTCTGTGATGTGTCAACCTAGAAACAACTCACTGACTCAATGAGGTTTGGAAGTTGAAAGAGGACGAGCATGCACACGGGTGTGACATGTTACATAGCTTGAAAGAAGCTGTAGCCGTCTTAAACACAAAAGTATGACCCACATCCAGCACTCACCTTCCATTCATTACAACATCGTTTATCATGGTATATCAAGCGAACATCTCCAACGTCTGCTCAAGGACAACACGACAACCCCTCCAGACGTGTGCTCCCACATCAGACTCTTCACCTCTTCGGTTCTCATTTACCCTTGAACGTTTTGAAACCCGATTTTTTCCTGCGCTAAAGTATGTAAGACAATTCCATCAAATTCATGACACCCTTTAATTTAAAAGAGAACTTGGGACACAATGGGAACCCGAAACGCATCTTCATGCGTCCTGCGGCGGACGCATGCGTCCTGCGCTGCTGACCTGGTCCACGGCGTAGCCCAACTTCACCCAGCGCAGCTCCAGGCCCGCTCCGTCGCCGGTCGCCACCGACAAGCGACCTTTGCGCAACAGGTCTTTGACCTGATACGACCGGGGCTCAAGAGCGACCGAGTTCCGGGGACGAACGCCAGGTGTTTCAAATGACGGAGCGTCCCGTCAAAATGACATACGCACTCTCTAGTACATTGTTAGGGAATTGGATGCTGCTTGTCCCGCGAGGGCAAAAGCACCAAAGATCCAGGACCCACATAGAGAACAAACAAAAAATACGGTCAGTTACAGTAGGTGTGCATCATAGGAGGTGACGAACATTTTGACTTGAGAAGTGAAAGTCCATGTCCACCAAGTATGCATCCCTTGTCTTTGATCCAAGCCGTGATAGATCATGAGCGAACAAACCCAGCATCAAACTAGCAGCATCTTGAAATTGGACCAGTTATATAATTAGGACAATTTAGGGTCATTTAGTGACTGCTACTGTCAGTCTGAACAACGGGCAAGCCACTTCCATCTCCTCCTCCTCATCTGAATCAACAGGCTCGAGCAAGTACTTGCCACCACCTAGAGCGTCCAACGGGAGGGTCTCTTCAAAATCATCCTCCAAATGTTTAATTCGGATCCCTGCATCCGTGACATTCAGGACAAGAGCCATGTAGGTCCCTTGCCATTTTCCAACCAGAACTCGGACAGAGACCTTCTTTCCAGGGAGCTGCTCTTTGGCAGTTTTCAGCTTCAGGTCTTGTAGAATACCTTCCCACTTCACCTCGACAGGGAGTTCCTGGGTCCTTCCATCTCGAAGACTCTTGAACTCCAAACAAACTCATGGACTTCTAACATCTACTCGTAGTTAGGATTTCAGTACTAGAACTTCTGGAAGCGTTCCTCCGATTTGGGCGCCGACCCTTTCCCTACCTGGATCTCCTTGAGCCGCACGACATGATGCTCCTCACACCATTCTAAGACATCTTCCAGGTATTCCTCCAAATCGATCTCTTCCAACCACTCTTCTAAACCAGCGACGGCAAAGCTAGGTTTCGAGGCCTTCTCCTCTTTCTTCGGCACCTCTGGCGAAAGATCCTTCAACTCTGGCAGAATGTCATCCCAGTTTTCTTGCACCTGAAGGGTTGTCTCAGCATGAGCACGGTTTGGATGGACTACCCGTGGAAACTTGGTGGAACACTTGGTGGAATGACATTTCTGCATCTTTGAGATACCTATATAGATCTGGGGTGGTTTGATGGTTTGTGAAGAATCCGCATCCACCCCCTGAGCCTCTTCCAACATCACTGCTCCATTTTCTTCGCACCAGTGCTGCACCTGCGTGAGGTACTTCTCATAGCCCTCTTGTTTCAGCCATGCACGCAAGCCCTCCATCTCTGGAGCAACTGAGCTCGGAGCCGCTGGCGTCACATATCCCGCCTTTGACTTGGGAGCAACCACCACGGTGCATTCGGACTGAAAATAGGATTCAACCTCGCTTTTGCTGTAGACCCCCTGATACTTCTGGATCATCTCTTGTAGGGTCTGTGTCTTGCCATCGTAAGGATCAGTGCGTTTTTCCATGGCGCCAATTGAGATTTGGAATGCAGAATGATCGCACCAGCAAACTAACGCTTATCACTTAAAGTACAAGTGAAAACAGAATACAACTACAGTAGCTACGGTAATTACAGTGCTCAGTGGTTGTAGAATAAGATCTCAAAGATGTTATTACTGTCGGCTTTTAGTCCTTCGATGTTCTGATTCACCCCAATGACATCATAACTGCATTGACCCTCTGAGAGTCGCTGCGGACAAAGCCAAGTCTTGAATTGGCTGGTCAAACATTTCAAGAGATTCTACACCCGCATGCTGCAGGTTGCTGCATGATGATATATATATATATACCCTATATATATATATATACCCGATGCTGCATGATGACCCTGGGACATTAGAGTGTCCCACTCACTGAGGGTCCACACACTGGTCCGGTCACACAGCACTTGTGTGAATCGAAGGAAACTTGGAGCTACTCAGAGGAACGCTACGTACTTGGAGGCCATCGCTACTAGGGTGGAGGCTATCGCTACTAGTAACAAGAAGCGGCTACTGTCTTCTGAACAATCAGAAGTGACCGAAACGACTACCGGGAGTTGCCCTCCGTCGCTCGGAACTTCTCGTTCACCGCCCGAGACGCTGGATGTCTGCCATGATCGCATCCAGCTTTCGGACCGGATCCGTGCTGCGCCAGTTCTCTTGCACCGAGGCCACACCTCCGGTGTCGGGCACTGACCCGGGCAAAACAAGAGGAGGCACTTGTGGGTTGAGGTGGTTCTGCTGCTATCGTGAACATCAAAATGACCTCCTGAGCTATTGGAAAACCTCTCTTACTCCCGCAAAGATTAAGTGTGACACAGTAGAGTCGCCTTCGATTCTTTGGTTGCAAAGAGTTCCTTTGGCTGTATCACTGTCTATAAATTCACAGCGCAATGCCCCAGAGAAAGCCCAAAAGCATCGGTGCGCTACAAAAAGATAAGAACAGTCACACATCGGTCCACTCCAAAAAGGCACCCATGGTTTCTGTGCTTGCTGAGACGTTCTGTTCCTATTCGTCTCATCCGAATGGGAACGTAAATCGTTCGGCCTCGCTTCACTGCCCGGCTCACGCCGGTGGAGAGAAGTGTGTACCAGTCCACGCCTGCCATGCGCCGTGGGTCATTAAGCTCTTGTGCTTGCACTAAACTCAAACAAAAAAGTCACACCATACCAACATATACCAACCCAAAGAACAAGTGCGAACAACAACACCTTTATGCACTGCCCAACAAATTGCAACAGAAACAACCTCAGGCACAAGCTCTCTTAGGTGACAACCACTTTGTGCGCGCATTTGCGACAACATGTGAATACACATAGACCAGTACATACTGGAATGGATGCTCCTAGGTCCAAATCTATCTTTGCAAGCCGAACCGTCTCAACATTTAGTTTCGGATTGACGAGAACCCCAGTAGGAAGACCTTGACTCTAGACTTCTGGTAGGCCCTCGTCCAGTGTGTGGAGGAAGGAAAGCCATCGAGATTTGAAGGTTTCATTTCATCTTTTTTTTGTGTTGCATTTCAATTTTAGCAGGTCTATCCCAGCGCATTTTTTGGCGCGTTATTTATGGGCTGTCTTTTTGCTTGTTGTTCGCATGTGTGTCTTTCCCTTTTTGTTCAACTTGTTTTGCATTTCGCTCGAGGTGTTCCGACTTTTTTGAGCTCCCAGCTGGTTGGTGCCAGGACAGGTTCTCCTTCCCCTTCCAGTGTCTTCCTGTCTCACCCCCCGTCTGGACCTGTCCCCTTGCCCCAACTCCAACATCCCGCATTCTCCCCAGCTATGTAGCTCAGGCTAGGCCGCAGGCCGGAGAGAGAGGTAGGGAGAGAGACGCCTGTCCTCCAGGAATGTTGCTTTTTTCTCCTTTGTACTGTATATTATCACTGCGTAAATCTGGCTGCCGTTTTCTACACTTTTGGTTTGCTTTTCTTTTTTTCTGGGTTCGTGTAGCATCTCTTTTTCAACATGGGCCTTTCCCAGTGGAAGCCGACAAGAACCCGATTTAAGGGTAATCAAAGTCGTTTCAATGCCCTGATCTAGCTTTCCGATCAAAGCGTCATGAGTTGTTCAAACCAAGACAGAAACAGAACATCTGTAAAAACGGACAGAAACACTAGGAGAAAGAGAAATGGATGCTGAAGATCAACCACTATGAGTGAACCTTAGGCCTCAGATGTGAATTGGACACAACCTTGTGTCATGCTGCAATGTCGTATGGTGTAACACAACCTTGTGTCATGTGAAGCCGACGGGTAGACTCTCATCGCTTCCCATCCTTCGAACAAAGGCTCTCCCTTGTCGTCGACAACACTGATCCGGAGGGTCAGGTTTCGCGCAGCAAGTGGGCTTTGATCCTCAAACAGCAGTTGTTTATGAACAAAAGCCAAGCAGTTCTCCATCGTTTTTTCATCGTTGTTCAAGCATCTGTGAGTTCTGTTTCTGCCAAACACCAATGCAATGCCAGCACAAAGAGTGACCAAATAGGTGCTAAGATGCCATGTTTGCAAGCTGCATAATGGAGCCATCTGCGGTTTCTGCCACTATACCAGTGCACTCCCTTGCGTCCAGCTTCTGTACCACGTCGCTGTGTGCCAACTCATGAAAATACAGCCAAGCCGACAAATACCTGAGTCTTCTGAGCTATGCCAAAACCTGGTAGAAACTCCCTTGTACCGGAGCGCGCACTCACTGATTGTTCGTGAAGCCGCTTCAACCAAATCCCCGCCCTAAAAAACCGGATGCTGTAATCCCCACTAAACCATCCATTTGAGGGTGCACTGATCATAGGTATTCATAGGTCATTTCAGGATGACAAGTCCTTTTTGCACAGCAATGGACGCCCCTCAGAGTGCAGCCCTGTACCATCATCTACCCAGGCGGCGGCAACTCTCCAAAAGTCTTGAAAGATGGAATGGCCAAGCCACTCGAAGGTGACTGGAAATCCACGGGCAGCAAACTGCTGCGCGATACCCTGAAGCTCCAAGGCTGTCTCGGGGTAGTGGCTAGAGACCTCAGAGATGTAAACTATGACGGCTATGCGTTGCCGGCATCAGATGTGTCAGGAGGGGGGGCTTTGCACAGTCCATGATCTTATAATCACAGGACCACAACCAATAACCATAGCGGCTTCTCCAAGAGCAAAAGAGCAACTGGTGAAACAATATCAAACAGCGAATTCAAAAGTTCCTCGTCCGCACAAATCAACCAAAGACCACCTTGGACATGATTTGAGCTGCGTGGAAGATTTTGAATTTCCACTTCTTACACAAGTACCATCGAGCATCTCCTTTTAGCCCAGGCACTGCCTTCCCCAAGGCATCAAAGTGCGATGCATTGAGCTGATCGAAGAGGGACTTGTTGTGCTCTTGGAAGACGGGCAAAAAGGACTCTTCGTAAGGATGCTTGGAGAGAATGAGATCTACTGCACCATCCCAACCTCAGAGCTACCAAAGTTCTTTTCTTCAAAACAGCGAAGAGAGACTCAGACTGGGTAGCGGGTAGCGCAACAGATCTCTTTCTGGTTGCAGAACTCATGTCTCCGGCTTCCTTTGTTGCAGAACCCTCTCTGTCTATCAGCCTCTCAAACTCCCTAATCTTGGTCTTATCTTGGGCCCCCAAGCGTGTGTGCGCTGGCTTGCGCAAGTCCAAGGTGAAGCGCGGTGGCAGTTCCAGCGCTTGTGTCAAAAGAAAGGATGTCCACAGGCGCCAACGACCCAAGAAGGCCATGGCTGAGATATCGTAAAATCCAGGAGGCCAAGTGGAGGAACAGGCAAACAGCAAGCGGAATGCAAAAATCGCGGGTACAAAGCCAGTCTCTGCTGGGATATGGATTATCATCTACTCCTTGTTTGGATGGCCTCTTGAAAGACTCACTTCTTTTTGGAGGGTGCTGTACGGAAGCTGGGAGATCATCCTTGAGCCAAATCTGAGCCGTCTTCCATCAACCTCCAGATCTCTGGCTAGAAGGACAAACCCTCACAGGATTTCGCCCAGCCGGCCATGAAGGATCGGGCCCAGCCAGCCTGTCTGGAAGACTGCTAGTGCCACCCATCACCTGCGAGGTCCTGCAGGTGCAGTGGATTCTGAAAGATCCTCGTGTGAAGGGACTTTTGCACTAAACTTGGCTGCTTCGAAAACCACACCTCATTAGCAGCTTCTTGAGACGCAAGCTGTTCTGGCTGGTGGAAAGACTTCTTCTGGAAGTACTTGCTAGCATGATCACATGTGTTTACCTTGTATGATTACATGAACTTCCACCCTACCGCGTGTAGTTCATAGTTCATCACTCTCTATGCCCTCTACACAATTGCATTTGTTCGATCAACACCCTTGGACCCGTTTGGCCCCTCTCCAGGGCTTTCCGCGACCTGAAACAGTCCTGCCGGCTCCCCAGGCTGCCCTGAATATTGAAAGCAATACAGCCTTGATCCCAAAAATAGCCACCGGAACGCGCTGTTGCGATCTGCTTACCTATAGACACATGGTGAATTGTGTGGTTGGGGAACATCTTCACACGTATTTACACGAAGGGCCGAATGAACACTCACTTACTCCTGATGCGACTTCTCCTTGGGTGGACTGCATGTGAACATGATATCGAGCAAGGCCTTGGATAGGGTTCAACAAGTTGGTAGTTGAGCACACGAAGTATACATCATGATAATAATGAGCTCCATCACAGAATCACTCTTCTTTTCCCGCAGCTGCATCTGCGACAACTGTAGCATGAACACATCATGCATGGCCTGGGCATTAACGGTTGCTGAGCTGTGTCAGTCACTCGAGAGCTGCTCATAGTCATGCTGCACTTGGAGCATCACCAGAATTGCCTTCACAGAAACAGGCTCTCGGACCACGTGAGAGTGTGGCAAAACATGGCAAAACGAAAGCATCACGGCGCGCACGAGTGTTTCTCATGCAAGCTCTTCCAGCTCTCAATATCTCTCAATCATTACTGCTAATTAAACACCTCCATCTTCTGACTGCTGCTCTCCACGGGCAAAATCAATAATTAAAAATTGTCATAGAACAGAAGGTAAGGAACAAGCAGCTACTAGGGGCTCCTGGCATCGCTACTAGGAGCAAAGAGGCTGCTAGGAGCTCCTGGCCGTACTACTAGGAACAAGAAGCTATTGATTTGAAAAGGGATCCTCCTCCTGGTCCGACAATGAACCCCGTGTGCCTCGCTCATCTCTTCTCGGCTCAAGCCATATCGTTCGTACCTGGCAGCTCCAACTCCGACGCGGTGAAGACCCATGGCTTGCGTGTACACTGGTTTTCCGGCAAGACCACCATTGCTGGATGGTCTCTTCAAATGTCAAACGCGTATCTTTGCGTTTTTGGAAGTTTCCTGGGCTTGGCCGGATTTTGAGCTATGGCGAAAATGACCTGATCGATAGACTGGTGTATTCTCTAGATAGAGGGTTAGAGCATCTGGGATCGTTTTCCAAGCTGCAGCGTGTCCGAAACTTGTGGCATTTTTCAGGACGACACCTTCTCAATCATAAAGACACATACAAGGAAAAGCACATGGACAATCAGTTTCGACCCTGGCTGAACTCCCAAGTTTTGACAAAGCTCACCGATTTGGGTTTGCGACTGGTTGGCATGGTTTGGATGAATCTTGTACCGCCTGTAAAAACCCGCGCTGCGAGGCAAAACCCCTCACGAGGCTCACTGGTGTAAGTAGGCGGATGCCCTCAACATCGATGTTGCCCGGCTGGTGGTTGAACTAAGAGCTGGCCTCACCAGAGGACGCTACGAATGGAGCATTTCGGGCATCGCTACGAACGGAGCAAGGACGCTAAGAACAGGGCTCCTGGCCGTACGACTAGGAGCAAGGACGCTACTAGGAGCTTTATCCAAAGCTGCTCACCCACTGTGGTGGGCCGAAGAGATGATTTTTCACACCAGCATTGGCGCAGGGTTTTTGAATGGGACCACTTCAAGCACCAGTTCTTGCTGAGAACAAAATGAGATGGTGATCGAATCACTTGTCGAAGCGATTGCCATTTGTGCCAATTGCTGGTCCGCGGTGGAGAAGAAGAGTCATGCACTTCCTCTAAGGCTCCAGCAAGACCGCCTGGCAGTTGCTGATGCAACCCAGACTCCTGTCTAGTCCGCCGACCTGAGCTGACAAGCCGACATCCCGTCGGCCCACGCCACTCAGCAGGTGGTTGCTAGGTGGTTGCTAGGGTACAAATGGGGTAGAGTACAGTACATTTTGGACACACGTTGTTTGCTGTTTACTGGGCCACTTGGGCAGACGGGAGACCGACTCGTCCTCACCTACGAGTCGCCACCTCCGCTCAGCAGCTGGGCTCCCTGCATGGTGAGCATCTGCGTGGACCTGGCCAAAGTGAACCGTTTGATAGCGCATTTCAAGAGGGCTAAGAAGCAAAAACCAGTGGAAACAAAAGACAGTGGAGAAAAGAAACATATGCGAAGCTTAAACAGTTTGGTGAGAGAAGAGTGGAGCACCTGTGGAGTTGCATTGCTTGATGTCTTGATGTCCATCAATATGTGCGAAGATATGAGGACTGTCAGAGTGTCTATGAAACCCACCCTGTGCTCAGCATGATGGACACTAGGCGACAAAAGGTTTGCTGAAGCCAAACAGGAAAGTGAGCACATCCTCATCGCCAGGCTTCACACATCCATACACCAGTGACACCAGGCACAACTTGCTACCTGCATCCCATCCACAGAGTGCTGCCACAATGGCATCTTCTTCAAGGGTTCCTGGTGGGTGGCGTTCATGAGAGGAAGATGCGCACCAATGGCATGCATGGTACAATAGGCTGTACCCCTTGACAGCGGCCGACAGCAACCTTCACATCCAAAAGACAACGCATTGTTAAACAATTGTCACATCACTTTTGCCAGGAATGCAGTACCTTGAGTTTTTGACTGCAAGGAGATATGCTAAAGGTCAGCCAAACTCAAAAAACATTGGCATTGCTATGAGCTGACTTCCTTCCATAGGAATCTCTCGCATCTGTCGCAGCCCCTGTCCAGAGAGGCTTCCGAAAGATCATCTCCCCAGAGGAAGGCTGATGCCTGACTTGGTGGCAAGGAATTGTCTCAAGAACTTCAGCCCAGAACCCCACAAGAAGAAAACTAGGACAACTGGTATTTCCATTGGTTCTTGAATAAGTCAGAGGGAACACTCGGAGAAAACACAGCTTCGACTAAGGCATCTAAAGGCATCCGTGGCTCAACGACCGACCGTCTCCCGACCGACCGAGGTCGAATCGGTCTCTCGGCACCCAGACCGAGACTGCCCGGCAGCGGGTGGATCTCACCTGCTTCGGTGAAGTCTTTAAGACAGGTCGGACCCCACAAGGCTATGAACACTTGAGTGTTAGGCAACAGTTGAATAGCCTTGTTGAATGTTTTTCTACTCTTTTCCACTGTTCGTGATGTGCCTATATGTGCCTGTAATGAAATTTGGACAAAACTTGACAACAAACTCCGCGAAAGGGGCCTCTGGAGAGCCGCTAGGCCTGTTTCAACGGCTTGCTGAAGCTACAACTGCTGAATAAAGAAGTTTGTGCACTGATGGGTCGATGTCTCAATGGATGCCTAAAAGGGGCCCCAAAGGAGGAAACTAGGAACAAGAAGCTACTAGGGGCTCCTGGCATCGCTACTAGGCGCAAGGACGCTACTAGGGGCTCCTGGCCTTACTACAAGGAACAAGAAGCTATTAAATTAGGGGCTCCTGGCATCGCTACTAGGAGCAAGGACGCTACTAGGGGCTCCTGGCCTTACTACTAGGAACAAAAAGCTACTAGTAGCAAAACGTTCATCGATGTCCGTCAACCTTCTTCCATTCTTGAAGTATTTGTTATCCAGAACCTTCATCAGCCAAAGCTCGGTTTGTGTCGAAGCTGCCCGCCTATCAACCAAGCTGCCCGCTTCGCATAGCTGGACCATCCGCCTGACAAGGAAGTAATCAACAAAAGGAAAAGACAACATACTCCTGTACTGTCCCTCCACCACCCAAGATACCCGCGGTCTTCTAGATCCCTTGGATTCATACCAATGCAAGCTGGACCTTCATTTCTTTCCTTGTAGTACTGCCCATCAGCTGATGGAGAACATCTCAGTGTTTCTTCCTTAAACGACCAGCATGGAACAAGGCCGCCTGCTTCTACTTCAAAAAGTAGCTAGCTGCCTCAATAGCACACATGACATATGTTTGACCGCATGGAGGTGTTCATCCAATGCTTTCTTTTTAACTCCAATGCTTTCTTTTTGACTCTACAACAATAGTTCAATAGACAGTACATTGGAGTGTGTCCTCCATATTGTCTCGTCAAATTTGTCCTCGAAGGCGTCTCATTGTGACAAGTCATTGTGATCCCAAGGCTTGAGAAAAAACTCATTTCATGAGATTCAACTCTTCACTTTCACTGGACTCAGCTTCGAGTAAAGGTAAGCCACCTCTCCGCCATCCGTGCCCTATTGCGCCTTTGCAGCGCAGTCCAACTGTCCGATGTGAACGCCTTCGAAGCGACATCGGCTGGAGACAGTTACGCAACCCCCACACGAAGACAAGCCACTCCTTGCTCTCCGGCTTCTGCTGATGAGTTCATCAAGTAGTGTGCTCTAGAGATTTCTAGAGCATTTGTCTACATTTGAGACCACTGAAAGGATGAGCTCCTTTTTGCTAAGACGTGATTCTTTGTGGCCAAGCCTGGCTAGATGGTAACTGTTTCCGGCCT